TATGATACTATATATATATATATTAAATAGAAGGTTATATTATTCTTGGTTAAAACTAATTTGAGTTTGTGATACCAAATTATATTTTAACCAAAGGCTCCAAAAAACATATAACAGTTTAGATACATAAAATAACCCAGCACCATAGAGTACATAATCTTTCTAAGGGTGACTCGGCCATCAGCTTCAATCAAGTACTTCTTTAAATATACAGGCTAGGATTAATTGACCATATAAGTAGAAAGGAATATGAAAATTGTTCTATTTTACACTCAGTCACTTCCAAGCTGTGAGGATGATTTTCTTCATTAATTTTTCCTGAACAAACTGATTATGCCTGAATACACATCCATTTCTTTGGTTCCAAATATTTCAAGCAATGGCACACCATATGACCCTTCATTAATATGACAAATGATAAGATATAATATAAGAGAGTGTGAAAATAATATATTAATTTCATTTTAATAAGTGTTTAATGTATATACACTTTTTATATATGTGTGTAACCTGTTGGTTAATTGTAAACAAGCTGTAAATAACTGTCTATAATTACTGATTACTATAATATCACCATTTTTCGAAGTATATCATTATCTTCCAACTGTGAATGGAAATATTGTAGTAACAATCTCTACAGCTTATCATTATTCTATCAGAAATAATACTTGTATAACAAATTTTACAACATTTTATATAACATCATTTTTTAATTATTTTTCCATATTATTATTATTTATTACAATTATTAATAATTAATATTGAGAGAAATACAAAAATAATATTGGGAAAAATACTGTACATGTATCATTAATATTACTTTATTAATTAGTTTGTCTATTAGAAAATGTTGAAAAAGAAAGAAATAAGATGAAAAAATTGAGAGGAAAAAAAGTAAGGTTTTGTTTATTTAATTACTTACTAAAAAATAATTTCATATTTTTAAAGTTTATTTGTCCCATAAATAATTTAAATTTCCTAAGCACATGTTTTTGTTTTGTAAAAGTTTATCCCCTCCCTTGTCAAAAAGAAAATATAAATGTATCCTTAAAAAATTTATTATAACACTTGATTAAAAAATAAAGGTGTTCACAAGTGCAAGTAACTTCTAAACCATAAAAAATTTATAAAAGACAACGTAGAACGGTTCATTTTATGTCAGTCATATTACAATTGATCGACCTAGGAGAGTTTGTAGTATTTACAATACTATCACATTTTATGCTACGTCAGATGTACACCAACTGATATATATTTGCGTCGTACAATATTTTTGTATTAGTGATCCAAATATACATTCGTCTGAATTTTGGTGTGGTTTGGATCAGATCAAATTTGTTGAAATCTAATGTCCTTTATTTTGAGTAATGACTTTTTATTTCTAAATTCTAAATTTTATGACTCACCCAATTGACAAGATACTTTATTATTATTATTATTATTATTATTATTATTATTATCTGTATTTTTATATTATTTAATAAAATAGACAATTTAAAACTATATTTAAGTTTTTGAGTCCATTAAACTAAATTGATCTAATTCTTTATTGTTCATGTTGGTTCAGGTAATGTGAAAAAAAAATAGTAAATGATCAAATTAATTAGTTTTTAAAATTATATATCATTCTTAATTTTAGTTCCTTATTCTAATAAAATTAAAATAATGTACTTGAAAATGTAATTTGTCACTCATTTGAATCTATCGGTTAAATAAAATTCATCTTCTTAAACGAAAGTGCGTACATAATACATTAGTATCATGTGATGTACACATAATACATGTGGAATGACACGTGTTATATAGGTGTGTCACGTGACGTATATATGCCATGTGATATATAACTATAATACAATATCATTTTAATTCTCAAAATTATAAAACAATACATTTTAATCGTTTAAATAATAACAATACAATGTCACTTTAATATTTGAAAATGTAACTCAATGTTACTTTAATTCCTGGAATTTTAACTTGGTGTCACTTTAATTCATAAATATGTTATCATAATTTTGCTTTAATAAGATAATTATGACTTGAATGTTTATACAGTAAAATAGATAATTAAGTTAATATTGTAAATATAATAATAAATATATTTAAATTGTACTAAAAAGGTATTAGAGGATCATCAAACTAACAATTGGAAAAGAAATTCAAAATGTGAATAAATATTATGTGTTATGCACCACTTTTAAACTATATGTTTAAATATATTCATGTTTCTAGAAATAATATTAATTTATATAAGAGAATTAATTATGAAAATAATATAAATAAATTAGAAAGTGTTTTTT